TACACATGTAAAACTGTGTCGCACACGTGCTACTGTAGTACATTTACTCAAGGCTCAGACTGATTTTTGTCGCACTGTACAGCCCTATCCAAACCTGTTCCAGATTGTAGAAGGAGCTACTCAATTTCACGTCCGCCTTCCTTCACGTCACTCCACACAGTCGTACACAGAAATATGTCAACAACTAGACTTTATCGTTATTATCGCGGGAAGACTAATTCTTATCATGTGGAGAATTTTTACCGGTATATCGCAAACGATAAGATATCGCCCATCCCTACTGGGTAAGATAACTAATCTTAAACTCAGTGACAAATTAACTTAATTATTATCTCCTCTCATGCTCTCCCATCTAAATACGTAACGTTAGCTAAGCCCGTTGAAGATTTGATTAGCTAACAGTATAGCTAGCTGCCAGAGCCCCCAATAGTAAAGCGTCAGGCCAATATGTGCAATGACAATTGCTAAACTTGTTACTTCAGTAGGAAGGATTGATATTCAGGACTTGTAAGCCAGTACCACTGTAGCCTTGCAGAGACTTTGTTTTGAAGACCTTTTAATGAACTAACTTCCACATTTCAATATGCCCCTGACTTCTAAGGGATGTTTTTATTTGTGACTACTCCAAACAGCCAATAATTCTATCAGTAGAACATCACATTTTTCTTTTCTGTTTCCGGGAAGAAGATTTAGTGTTGATGGAGGAGGCAACATTTTCAAGGCAAAACCTTAGACCTGATGCAACATCATCCAATGTCGCATTCACCCTCAGGAGGCACACAAGCAAAAGCCAAATTGAACATTGTCAATTATCAATTCCTATTTTACAAAATTTGCCCTGCATACATTTTTGTCTTTAATGTGTAGGCACTTGAAGACCAGTGTCCAATATGCACAGGAACATTTCCAGTGTCAGAAGTAGAACTGCCATGCCAGCTTTTGTGGAGAAAGGTAATGGTAACAGTAACTCACATTGAAGCTTAAAAACAGGTCTCCAGGTTACAAATGCAAGCATGGTTCCCCGAGGGAATGAGACGCTGCGTCGGAAACACTTTGGGAATGCCCCCAGCGTGACCATGCTCTGAATCACATATGAAATCAGTCGAATAGATGGGCGAGACGTCATGGGCGGGTGACGTTGCGACCAGGAAGCTATAAAAGCATGTGCGGTGGAACCGGCGTCAGCTTCTAGGAATGAAGCAAGCGGATGCCGGAAGTATGGTGAAAAGATTCCGCTTCAGAGCATACAGTTTCCTTGTGCGGTGGAACCGGCGTCAGCTTCTAGGAATGAAGCAAGCGGATGCCGGAAGTATGGTGAAAAGATTCCGCTTCAGAGCATACAGTTTCCTTGTAGACGGAGCTCTGGATTGGAGAATGGTCTCAACAACCTCGGTTGAGAGACAGGAAGCTGCGAGTTGTGCCACCCCCCAGGGGCCACACCCACGCTTCCACAGCTCCGGGCGGGGGTGAAGATAGTACCCTTCGCCTGTGAGAGGAGATCCCTCCTGATGGAAATCTCCCATGGAGAGCTGTCGAAAAGGGAAATCAGGTCGGAGAACCATACTCGGACCGGCTAGAACGGGGCTACCAACAGTAGACGGACCCCGTCCCGGCACACTCTCTCCAGAACGCCCGGGAGCAGAGTGATTGGGGAAAAAGGCGTACAGACGAAGCCTCGGCCATGTCTGTACCATAGCGTCCAGTCCGAGAGGAGCTGGATGAGTCAGGGAGAACCAGAGGGGACAGTGCGATGTCTCTTGAGTCGCAAACAGGTCCACCTGAGCCTGGCCACAACTCTCTATATCTGCTTCACCACCTCAGGCCAGATAAGTGGTTCTCTGTACTGGAGAAAGCACACTTTTCTTGGCGTTAAGTTTAAACCCCAGCTCTTACAAGTGAGCATGAACGACATCTCGATGCCGAACTGCCATCTGCTCAGATTGAGCTAATATCAACCAATCATCGATGTGGTTGAGTATGTGGATGCCGTGGAGTGACAGAGGAGCCAGAGCAGCATCCACACACCTCGTGAAAGTGCGGGGCGAGAGTGCAAGGCCGACGGAAGGACCCGGTAAGCTTTTGCCCCAAAAGCAAACCTCAGGAACTTCCATCCTTCTTTGGGACGTTGAAGTACCGGCTGTAGAACCCAAACTGTAACAGGCAGTAACAAACGCTCGCCATGCGCGCAGTCAGCTCCCTGGAGAGCTGATTCTGCGTGCTTCGCTCCCAAGCAGACAACACACAAACTGTGCGTGTCCCCACCCGAAATAGCGCGGGCAGGGAGAAAAACAGACTGAACGCTGTCTGCTCTTCGCCCAAATGCTTCTTTTTGCTGAAGCTTGACATAATGGAGCTTATAAGTGGACAGACAACACTAAGTAAGACTCACAAACAGATAGCGACTGACACACACACAGAGCGCTTGCTGAATGACAAAAAGCTGACGCCGGTTCCACCGCACGTGCTTTTATAGCTTCCTGGTCGCAACGTCACCCGCCCATGACGTCTCGCCCATCTATTCGACTGATTTCATATGTGATTCAGAGCATGGTCACACTGGGGGCGTTGCCAAAGCGTTTCCGACGCAGCTCGAGTTCCTGAAGGGGAATCAAATCTACAACGGGCTTAGCTAACGTTACATATTTAGATGGGAGAGCATGAGAGGAGATAATAATTAAGTTCACTTGTCACTGAGTTTAAGATGTTAAGTAAGTTATCTTACCCAGTACACAACCTGTTGCTCACCATGATACAACCTCGCTCGCTCTTCTGTCAGATTGCGACGGCAGTGGCGGGGATTCTGGGGAAACGTAGTGGGCGTGGTCAACCTGTGACTTCAATCGAGAGTGACCAATAGAAAAAGGCCTTTCATCCTGGTGGGTAGAGACCGCCCACTGAGAGACAGCTTCACTGGCAAGCAAAACTTTTCAACTCGCAAACAAAAGTTTTAGACCAGCAAAAAAAGACGGCAGAAAAGAGAGTCACATTTGTGGTATCGCGATGAAAAGTGTTTGAAGTGCACAAAGAAAAATAAAGATTTTCAAAGATTTATACGCACTGCAAATTATTTTATCAATTTCTTTATTTTTGAGCCTTAAGAAGACTTTTTTTTGCAATCTTTTATTTTTTAATTACAAAATAATTAGTTTTACTCTCAAACATAGAATGTTTGATTGAATAATAAAGGCACAAAAATGATTCCATACACAACACCTGGGTAAAAAAAAATAATAATAATTAAATAAGCCAATAAAATGACCCAACAGACTGAACCCAGCATTTGGTTTACTTTGTGTAAAATGATGTACACATGTGATACCAGATTAGAAGCCTAATAAAAGTTATTTTATTTTACATGGAGCAAGTCGATTAGTGGAGAGCAAATATGTTGAGAGCTGAATACTAACTTTGGTATTCAGTAAGCACCTGTTTTTGGACACTTTTGCTAACAGTATTAATGTGGCTGAATTAGGCTGTTAACTGAACACGTTTTCATGATGCTGCATCCACCACTAGGTGTCAGTCTCATTTAGCCAAACCTTTGATTAACGGCGAAAGGTATGGGCTCTATTGCAGCTTTAATTGGCAAAGAACAGCCCACTAACACAGGAAGATGTTGTCTGACTGGCACAAAAAAAAAATCAAACACAGTTCACTTTGTTCAGTGGGGCAGACCAGTGTGAAACTATCTATGTTTCACTTAAGATTAATAAAAGTGTAGCACTTAATACACTGTATTGTTCTCTGCTCTGGAGAGCTCTGTAGTACTTAAATTTGTACTTGAAAAATAAACCATTGTACTATTGTAAACTGACATTCCAATACACGGTCAGAAAAAAAATGTGCAAAAATTGAGATACAACAGCTTGTTACTGTGGCAGTACCCTTAAAGCAGGAGATTAGACAACCCTACTCCTGGAGGGCTACTATCCTGCAGTGATTAGCACCAACCCTAATCAAACAGGCAAGTGTGTTAAAGCAGGATTGGGCCCTAAATTTGTAGGAGGGTAGGCATACAGATGTGGGATTAGCTACCCCTGTCTTAAAGAGACACCTTTATACCTTATATATACCTAAAATATGGATATTAGTGCCTTGGAGTAGTAATATATCTGTATGTACCCTTAATGTACTACTATGAACCTTTTAGGGGTAAATAAGGTACAAAAATATCCAGTTATGGGTACTGCTCCAGTGACAAGCTGTTGTATCAATAAAGGTACATTTTTGGCTCTTTGTGTTTTCTGAGAGTCAAAGACACTCATAGTAATGTATGTTTGGAATATGTCTATCCACTATAAAGAGCCCACAAACACTTTGGGTGATACAGTGTCCATATTTCCATGTTTAGCTGCAAATGCCACAGGTATTCTGTTGTTTGTGAAGTACTTCATGATATTCCATTTATGATGTGAGAGGACACACAACTAACAAAACTGGACCACTAACAAATCTTTTAATGATTTGGCCAATCTTTATAAATTATACTATTTCCATATTCCATTTTTGCAGTCTTGTACATTGTATACACAGCTTTGTCTCATGGTGGACATCTAAAGACTGACATACACTAGGCTCCTGGAAAACCTGTAGAAGTAGCCAATCTGATTAGGACTGACTTGCCTCATAGCAAGAGAATTCCCCCTGGATCAAGTCCCAGATGAGCTTGCAGGCCTTGGTGGAGTTTGCATGTTCTCCCAGTGTTGAAGTGGGGGGTTTTTTTCCTAAGGGATTTTCCTGGTTGTATTGGCACAGCCAGTAGTAACTCTGAAGTGGTGTAAGCCGGCCTACAGTGACATAATTTAAGTGTGATATTTATCAAAGTCAACAACTGGAGAATGGGGGATGCCGTGGTCAGAGCTGTGTTTTTGTTGGTGTGAATCTTGAACTTATTTGATGTGATAAGATCTTTAACATGGCTTATTGTGCTTAATAACTGTTTTTTTTTTTTGCTTGTTTTTTTAAAGAAAGAAAGAAAGAAAGAAAAAATGAAAAAAGAAAACAACAAAAAAAGAAAAATGAAAAGAAAAAACAAAACAAGTGCTTTCCTTCCGAAGGACTTCTTTATTTTACATATAGCAAGAGAACTCTATTTACAATAAAACAGTACATTAATATGCATGATAGGCCTATTTTATTTATTTATTAATTTCATTGTATTGACAAAAAATTTAAACATTCTGGGTGTTGTATCCCTTTTAAGAGTATTTTCTTTCTCTTTCAGTGATCATATTGTTTTCCAGATGTGAACCAAGTGTTTGGGGTTTTGGAACCATCAGGGACCATCAGTGGCTGACAGATACATTTTCCCTATAATATTCACAAAGCCAGCTGATGCAAGATTCTGCAATGACTTTTTGACATCAAAAGTGTATGGACAACACTTGCAAAGGCTCAGACACACCAAACTGACAACAAAGAACTAGCAACAACAAAAGCTGATTCACTACTTTTCTGAATAGCAAATTAGAGTGATCTCTCTCACAAACGGTCTCCACAGCTGAATCAACATGCTCAGTCAGTCAACCAAAAAGTGACCATCCTCGGTCCTTGCGCAAACCATGCAGAACACAATATCTAGGCAGACTAGGCTCATAATTTGATTATCTGATTATTACGTAATCTTGTTTACATTATTACTATTACTAACATGTTCAGTCTACTGCGTAATACAGATCTTCTTTCAGTAAAACTATAAAGTTCTCTATCAAAACATCATCAGCCTTTTTCCAGTGAAGAAATTAAGCCACTGCTGACTCCTGCTGAATCAAGCAGATCAGATCAAGCCGAGCATATCTCTAGCCGTGATATGTAAACAATCAATTATACTGAAATATATCCCTGACCGCACTGAGTCAATAATCTGATTACTTTTGTGGGACTGATCAAGATATTACATGTAGCTAGTCTGAGTAACAAAATGCTTTCTCTGCCTCCAGATTTGACTGTAATAATAATGCAAAAGCTGATACTTCAAATTAACAAATTAACAATAAAAACAAAAACCATCTCAAGCAAAGAGGGAATACACACCCATGTATATATTAGTGGTTACACCATGGTATTACAGATGATAAATTATGCAAAATTTAGAGGATAATTTAGAATATTACCATTTAAACAGCCAGTATTTATTTATGTTTTATTAATTTATGATAATTATTTTATCACTAATATGTATGATGAATATAGTGAACATGTGTTTGTTTGTGTTTGGATGCATCCTAGTACAACAACTTCTCCAAAGCACCTTACAGTATACTAACAGTAATAATATTCCATAAATCATTACTAAAGTGTGATGACATGGATCTCAGTGACTGTGCCGTTCACTAATCAACCCTACATGCACTGATGCTATAGTCGTGCCAAACATCAGTAAAATGAATTGATTCACTGTATTATCATGTCCATACATGTTACTTCCTTCTCATGCTTTTTGGCATCACAATCTGTGGTCCCTCCTTACTATGATGCAACCTAAAAAGGCGGAGCAAAAGTTTTATTTTGGGGTGCATAAATTCTCATCCTTGGAATATTCAAGCTTCATTGAACAGGGATACACAATGGAGATCAACAGATCAGCTGCATGTATGACAGCACATTTGTAAAGTTCTGGGTTACCTATATTGTAAGTTTATTTTTATTATTTTTTAAGTGATATTTTATAACTTTGTATTTTTTTTATTGAAGGTGTAGTGACAGTATTGTGTATTTTTGCCACATCCTCTGCACAAGGTAAGGAAACATTATAATTATACTTTAGACATTTACTATTACTAGTTTTATGTAGTGTCAGCAATTGTTGTAAGAGTGACAAATCATTAAAACTGACAATTGAGTGAGTCTAATACATGTTAGTGGTTTATTTAAAGCAGTTTGTTGTTGAATATTTATATATTTATACCACTGGCGTTGAGATACAAGTTAGACAAACAAACTCTGT